TCCTTCTGACAAGTACTCTCCCCGTGAGTCTCGACAACTGGACTACATTTCGCAGTTTACTTCAGATATTCAACACATCTCTGGAGCAAACAATGTAGTTGCAGACGCTTTATCTCGCATAACTTCCTTGAACAGTTTCCAAGGAATCGACCTTCTTAAACTCGCCGAGCTTCAAAAAGAAGACAGTGATCTTCAGCACGAGTTATCGTCCACAACACTTAAACTACGCATCAAACAGATGGGAACAGGTAAGGAAACCTTACTTTGTGACACATCTACAGGTAGGGATCGCCCAATCGTGCCGAAACATTATCGACGCAATGTCTTCAACACATTGCACAAACTTTCTCATCCAGGTGTTCGTGCAACCATCAAGCTTATAGCAGAACGATTTTGCTGGCCTGGCATGAATAAAGACGTGAGGGAGTGGGCACGCTCCTGTGTAAGCTGCCAAAAATCTAAGGTTATCAGACACAATAAATGTCCCTTAGGCTCGTTTAAAACTCCCGATGCTCGTTTCGACCATGTTCATCTGGATTTGGTAGGACCTTTACCAGATTCAAATGGATACTCTTATCTCTTAACCTGCGTAGACCGTTTCACTCGATGGCCAGAAGCAGTACCTATCAAGGACAGCACTGCTGAAACAGTGGCCCGCACATTCGTCGAACGATGGGTAGCAAACTTCGGTTGCCCTTCAACCATCACTACAGACCGCGGACGTCAGTTTGAATCTGATCTTTTCCGTCGTCTGACCACACTTTTAGGAATCACTCGCTTCCGAACGACCGCCTACCATCCCAAGCAAACGGGTTGGTAGAACGTTTTCACCGACAACTGAAAGCTTCGCTATCAGCTGCAAACGTTTCACAATGGACCGACGCTCTTCCACTCGTCTTACTAGGTATCCGCAATGCAGTGAAAGCTGACATTGGATACACTGCGGCTCAACTCGTTTATGGAACGACACTTCGACTTCCAGGAGAATTCGTGGATCCTTCGTGCTCTTCGATGAACATGGATCTAACCTCCTACACGAACAGGCTTACAAACGCAATGCGTTCAGTTAAACCTGCTTCCACTCGACCTCAATCAACTGATGTTTTCGTTCAACCTGACTTACGATATAGTACACACGTTTTCATTCGTCGAGACTCGCATCGACGACCATTCGAATCAGCATACGAAGGACCCTTCAAAGTTCTTCAACGTGAATCTAAGTACTATATAGTCGATAAGAACGGAACCAACGATAGCATCAGCATCGATCGCTTAAAAGCAGCGTATTTAGAAGGAAATCCTATCCACGTCGATTTTCCTTCGGTACAATCGAACGACACGACTCAGACACTTATAATACCTCATCCGACAACCAACACACACGAAGATACTTCGACAGTATCCGAAAATAAACTTAAAACGACGCGTTCTGGAAGAAGGGTGAGATTTCCAGAACATTTAAACGACTATTGCACGTAAGGCACTTCTCGACATTTTATATTATTTTTTTTTAAAAAAAAACAATTTTAATATGCTTATATATTTTTATTTCTATTAAAAAAAAACAAAAAAAAAACAATTTTTTAACGCTATTACGTGCTCATGAGTTTATTTTCCATTTTTTTTCCGCCGACCTTGTGTTTTTACGCATATACGAGTGTATTTTCGACATGCACTTACATTTTCTTTTTTCTTTTCCAGGACGGCTGGAAAAGAACGATGACGTTTATGAGGATCCGAAATTTTCATTGTACATTTTCTTTTTTTACTATGTTGTACCTCCGTCCCATATAGTAAGGAAAGACGACCAGACGCTGCTAAATTTAGTAAGCTATCAGAAGAGTGTTTACCAACGACAAACTCGTTGGGTTTAAACTTCTGGCTGGCCACGTCTTAGGGTCGTCACTGCCCCACTAGGGGGGGAGTGATCTGTAGCGGTAAATAAATCCCTAAAATAAATAGCTCTGTAAGTTTTCGACATTGGATGCTGACCATATGTTTTAGTGGACTCATCTAGCTGAAGGCGCTCGGTCAGGCATCCGCACCAGATCACGTGTAGTAACGCCGTGCTCAACATCAACCACAATCGCTAGCCAGATTAGATCAGAGAATCCCGGTATATTGGTCATCGCCAAATATACTCTTCCGATCTCCTCGACTCTGTCTTTTGATTTCTCTTGGTGGGAACGAAATACATTAGAAGGTGTTACTGGTAGAAGCGTTGTCAAACACTGAATACCTGTGACATCATCAGGTGGATTAAAGTGTTGCTGATGCATAATAAGAGATCACAACAATCAAAATAAATCAGCGAGCAATGAGAGTAAAATAATAATAATGGAATAATAATAATAACAGAAGCCAATCCTGTACAACTTTCATACTACGACAAAATGTCACACACTGACCTTTCTACTCGTCTCCAATACACTCATATCCTGATTCCAGGAGACTTCGATCTCCCTAAATTTGGAGGTTACAACTCTAGCGAAGCTCGTATCTCTAACTTCATCGATAACTTAAAACTATTCGAAAGTGTGGAGTTGGCGACACGGCGAAAAAATAGCCATATGTCGTCACTCTTAGACTGCGCATTTACAAACGAGGAAAACGTGATCGACAACCCTGGCTTTTTTTGGAAAAAGTGATCACGCCGTCATTGCCTTCAATTTCATCAGCAAAACTGAGTTAAAACATCTTACTAGCAACAGACGTTGGAATTTCAAACGGTTTGATGTGTCAGCTTTACGGGACAATCGACAATAGGTAGACTGGGAATTCCGACCTCAACTTGAGATGGACGAACATTGAGATATATTATTAATTGCTCAACCAACAACCACCGATCTCTTGGAGGAAAATTACTTTCGCACATTTTAACCGTTCCATGCAAACTACATCGACAACAGCTTCACCCTCAACTCAAAAGGACTCAGAAGTTAATTATCTTTGATCGCAAGGGGGAGGCTGGTGCCATATACCTTGACTTTTCAAAAGCTTTCTATTAGTTCAACCATATATGTCTCATCAGTAACCTCAAACGGTCAGGTATCCAGCCACCGTTAATTGGTTTGTTTGTTTCTTAAGCAAGTAATCAACATTTTGGGGACAGGGTAAACTCCACCTTTTCTCCTGGTGAGATCAATCAGGATTCGATACTAGAACCTCTTCCTTTCTTAGTTTATACATGAACTCCACCAGCATGTGTCGTCTGATTCACTACTCTTCGCTGACAACGTGGAACTTTGGAGAGAATTTCGAGACCGAGATGATACGCTCGCACTTCCGGAGATTCCGAGTTGACCTCGACGTCAGGTCAGGTAGATGACAATGAACTTATCTTTGACACTTCAATGTGTAAAGTAGTCTACCTGAGACATGTCGTAGACTATGCATATAGCTTTGGTTATTCTTTTCTATGAGTATCTGAAGTTGAAAAAGATCTAGGAGTGTTGATAACCTGTGATTTGAGTTTGTACTGAGACAAGAATGCCTTCATTTTACATATTTATTTACTGCAGGGGCACTTTGGCACTTGGTTATGCTTGTCTAGGGCCGGAGCAATCAATGAATATTGTGGCTTAACGATCCTGAATGATGTTGATTTGACGATATAGGACTTTATTTCTGGTAGTTACCCATAGTTTTATATGTGGAAAGGATGGATCGGTAGTTGTAGTAGGTTCTTATTCAGATCGTGGAATATAACAGTTCACATCTATGAGTAATTTTGAAAATTTGTCAAATGTGTCAGCTACTGTCACACACTCGAATAACTATGTGTAAATAAGACTTTATTTGAAACAGCATCAAACACAAAAATGTGAATTCTATTTATTAGGTGCACAGAGGATATGTATACTTTTGTTCGGAGCTTTAAGGTTGAAGCATTTCCCAAAAGTTGGTTTATATTTTTTCTGTCAAACGGTTAAAAGCGGGTTATTTAGCCTGACCAATAGGATTCGGGATTTCTAAGTACATATCCTGAAGGTCAATTGCTATTCTGCTACATTTTCTACTGTTTTTGACGTAAAATTGTGGTTTCACAAGTACTGACCGTCGTGTAAACTAAAGAGAACTAGGTAAGGGATGTTGTGAAATGCCCAACATGTTTATCTTAAGTTCTTCATCAAACGTGAGTAATCCTACGGTAGGATTTTCATATGACTTTAGGGAAAAACCGAAAATTAAGTGATCATATTCAGATTTCAGATTTGTGTAGTAAGGACAGAAGTCCTACGGCCTATGTTATTCCTTTTCTAGTATGCTTCTGTGAATGTCCAGTCTTCTCTTGAAAGAGTCAATTGAAGGTGCGGACACCACTGCTTCAGGTGTGAAAACCTGTATGCCACGGGTATTTTGTTCGTTCTTGGCTTTTCTACTCGCCTGCTATTTCCCCTGAGGTGTTCCGACCTAGTGGGAAGAAAGAGAGAGAATAAGTTAGGTCCGAAATCATTTCTCAGTATTCTGTACATCAAAATTAGATCTCCCCTTAGTCTGCGATAGGACAGAGTAAAGAGGTCCAGTTTTTCAAGCCGCTCTTTGCATGAAAAACGCCGGAGTTCCGGAATTGGATTATATTTTTATATTGATGGAGTACAAACTAGCTGATCTCTCTGCACTTGCACTTTGGTGTTAACAAACACTTTCAGATCTGTTATCCTCCAATTTGGATAGTTTAGTCACTCGGTCGCACTATCCATAGTGGGCTCTACAGTCATTTTAAAATATGTTTAGTTTAGAAATGAGTACGTTCGTTTTATGGCAATATTTAATCATAATTAAGATATCTGTCGTTTAATCTCTGGTTGGTTTCGAATCACAGTAAGTTTGAGGAGTGTTGTGTAATTACTAATTTCAGTGTTATTTATTAGTCGGATTGGTTCAAACTTGGTTTGTTGCATGTATGGTTAATGATGAAGCTGTCAGCTTTATTCATCTCAAGTTGATCTGTATTAATCAATATCGATCCAGTTACCAAGTAGTCACTTACTGTTACTCTTCTTGATTTTCTTGATACAACTGGTGTCCAAGATTCGTTGTTGACATAATCAATCATACAGTATGTAACTTGTAAAGAAATACGTGTCAATCCATTTCACTACAATTCCATGTGTTGTTCATCTTATCTGATCAAATCAATGAGAGAAGTTTATATGATGAGAAACCGATGGGTAAATATAACGGTAACATCAGTTGCAGTAGAAAGACTGTGAGGATAATTTCGAGAGGCATAAGCTCAGTGATCAACAGGAATACAACAAGTGTGTGAACTCCCATATCGCAACCAAATTTGAGTGGTTTTTCTACCCACAAATCACTATTATTGAATAGACCAATCAGAAAGACTTTATAAAAGTCAGTTAGTACTGTGGTTCCGTACAACTTGGACTAGCTGCTAAGTATAATGTGTGGCCCTAGACAACGTAGAGATAGGATGACAAAAGCTTTAGATTAAACAAGAAACGTTTATTACCAACTAAAAGATTCTGTTGGCTTGAGTCGCTCTATAAACTTGTTTTGGATTTACGAGGTTGTAGAAATAGAACAGTCAAGTGGACTATATATGCTTGGTTTTAATGCGCATGAAGATTTTCACTTAAACTGAACATTCTAAAAGTTCTACGTAATTCCTATCCTCCCTAATTATCACTGGAATTGGTATGTTTTCACTGTAAGTTCTTTGATATTTTAGGGATAAATATATGAAAATATAAGTAGTTTGACGTGGTGGTCTATGGCTTACAGTAAAATACATCCGTCATATTTTTTGGCAGTTTGCAATCTTTTCATATGTGTAGTTGCCTATGGATTTGTGCTTATTTTCTTGAGATTCATCCTATTGCACACCATCTTTATGTTAATAAAACTTAATTGTAGACGACCCATTCTACTTTTTTGATATTAGGGTTGAAACGAACGTGGATGTAGCATCGTGGTTTGAGCAGCATTTATTAGTCAGATGTAATTGATGTAAGAGCGTTCAAGTCTCCACCAACTGCGGAGTAATATCACATTACCCTCCATGGATTAATAAGGAAACCCGGAAGCTGTTAAAGCGTAGGAAACATTTCTGGGACTTATTCTTGTTGACAGGTCATGCACCATTTAAGCGTGAGTACCAAAAATACTGTAATATCTGTAAGAAAACCATAGCCAAATCCCGTACCACTTACGAACGACAGTTAGTATATGATAGCCGTACTTGTCCGAAACGATTGTTTTCGTATGTTAAACGGCAAATGAAACGTAGTGATGGTATTCCCCCGTTACTGTTAGACGAAAATTCAGAATTACTAGCTGAATCAGATCGGGCAAAAGCTGAGACTTTTTCAGACTACTTTAGCGTAGTCTTCTCTACGTTTATTGTAACAAATACTTGCCCCACTCACACCGAGATACCAACCATTGAATCTGTACAGGTGACTGAGGAAACTGTCCTTCAGTTGATAACTAACCTCAAACCTGGTAAGATACCGGGCCCTGACGGGTTACATCCACGGTTGCTGTCATCTCTTGCGGACATTATTTCAAAACCGCTTGCGACACTCTTCAACATGTCCCTCTCACTCGCTCAACTCCCTAGAGATTGGAAGGACGCTATAGTTAGTCCTATATTTAAGGACGGTCAGCGACAGATAGTATCTAACTACCGGCCTGTCAGTCTAACTAGCATAGTCGTTAAGTTACTCGAAAAGATAATTCGGGTTAGGTTGCTAAGCCACATAGATTTACACAATCTGTTAGCTCCTGAGCAACACGGATTTCGTAACAAGCGTTCATGCTTGACTAACTTGCTTATTGCGAGGGAGGATTGGACAGCAGCCCTAGATAACGGTCTGTCTGTCGACGTGATATTCATAGATTTTAGCAAAGCGTTTGACAAGGTTTCACACGTAGGTCTTATGCAGAAGCTCACGAGCTTCGGAATAATAGGTACTGTACATGAGTGGATAGGAAATTTCTTATGTGACCGCAGACAGAGAGTTAGGGTCAATGGAACGCTATCCGATTGGAAGCCGGTCAAAAGTGGTGTACCCCAAGGCACCATCTTAGGTCCACTGCTCTTCCTTCTCTACGTTAATGAGTTACCGCTGTTACTTAGGTCGTCGACATTATTGTTTGCGGATGACGTAAAAATCTGGAGAACAATAAAAAGTGCGGCTGATCATCTGGATCTTCAAGCTGACTTAGACGATTTAGTTAGATGGGCTCGAGAGTGGGGCTTAGAAATCAATGCTAGGAAGAGTGTACTAATGCACATCGGTCACGGTAATAGTTACCGTTACACTATTGAGGATAAACCTCTTCCATGCGTTCAAGAGCATAAGGACTTAGGAGTAATATTAAGTCATGATTTAAAAACAACTACGCATTGCAAAGCAGCCGCTGTCAAAGGTTTTCGTGCGTTATGGTCACTTCGCCGAGCGTTCAAATCTTTTGACGAGGAAACGTTTCGAATTTTATATCCCACATATGTTAGACCACATTTAGAGTACTGTATCCAAGCAGCTAGCCCGTGTCTGGTAAAGGATACTAACTCCCTTGAGCGTGTCCAGCGTGTGGGAACGAAATTAGTGAAGGGTCTTTCTAGACTCCCTTACGATGAGCGCTTAAAACGCCTAAATCTTTTCCCCTTGTCGTATCGTAGGACACGAGGTGACCTTATACTGGCATTTCGTATCTTTAATTATGATTTGGGTGTTAATATGTCTTATCTTTTTGCTCCCTCCAGCACTAATAATCTCCGAGGTCATAGCAAGAAGGTTCATAAACCACGATCTAATAAACTTAAAGTGGGATCCCGTTTTTCTCATCGAGTAGTCAATCATTGGAACGCCTTACCCGAACAAGTGGTATCAGCCCCATCAGTGAATACTTTCAAGGAAAAGCTGGACCTTCACTGGAAAGCAATGTGTCAGGATTAACACAGGTTCATCAACCTACTATCCTTATTACTGAAGACTGAAGACTGAATACATCTACCTTTCTCACTTCAGAGAGTTTTCGAATCTTACGGGAAATAAGTAGAAATGTATATAACAATATTAGTCCTATTAATTATTTTCTAAACGAATCTTATTATTGGTGAAATCAGTTTTACCATAAGTTTGGATGGTGTAATTTTTCACTGGGATCGGTTTAATTTGGTGCAGTTCAATAATGAAATACAGACCTTTTAAGCTCTGGGTGATACGTAGGCGATTATGTCAAATTAACATAATTTTATATACTATTATCATACTTTGTGTTTCGAAAATGCATAACTTATTGGGGAAATTTCGCTACAATTTTTTAGATGTGAAGGACGGGGTTATCCAGTGCATATAATAAGCTAAGGGCCTGATCCTAAGTAGGTATGTTTTCTAGATCTTTTATACGCGTTTTATTTTGCTATTTTTCATACTAAACACCAAATTCTTGGTTATTTCTCTCTTCGATTTGTCAAGGTAAAATGGAGTTCTTTGTAATGAAATGTGTGTTTCTATTAGCTACAGTCGTGGTTTGATTACTGTTCAGGTATCTGAACTGGAGTACATTTCGACCACTAGCTTAGTGATTTAAATTTGCTTATGGATTTCGGGTTCAAATCCACTTATCGTGCTTCTATATGACAACTGTACAGAATATATTTTTTAAAATGTGCAACTCAATCTAGCATGTAAACCTGTAGTTTCTGGTTATATTGTTGTCATTTGATAACATTCTGTTATCTGCCAAATATCTAACTTCATTATTTCTAAAGAAATAGTTATCATAGTTTAGTGTTTCCTGTGGTTTTATCTCAGATAGTCTGACCCCACCTAAACGATTTTGGTCCAACATGTGTAGCGTACTACTCATAGTGTCTAAACTATCACAATATGATCTCTGAGATTTTCCTTTTCACTATAAGTCGTAATAAAACCCTATATTTTCATGTTTCTCTTTGGCAAGATATTTAGTGACTAAAGTCTGTAAACTTTCAATGGTTAGAACTTCACCTGGCAGTGGCTGTACATGCCTGGTCATGTAAGAGCATTTCGATAAGGAGAGCGGGATCTCTCAACTCGTCTGCAGACTTTTACTGCTAAAATTTCCTAGGCTGTAAATTGGGAGGGCCAGTCAATATGAAATTCTAATGTTAGATATAAAGATCTACACAGATTTTCTATCTCATTCGCAATATAAAGATCAGTTTGTTTTGCTACTAGGTGCACTATAAGTATGGGGGTTAGTGATAACGTCAGGTTGCCCAAACAAAAGTAGGTCAAGGTGGATTCGAGCCCGCAATATGGGGGCGAAATACCGAATGTATTAGCCATTGAACCACCGTTCTAGATTGAATGGTTTGTTTAGTCAGTGCGATTCTATCCCTGGAATAATCAAGCTATTTTGGATGTTGCTTTGAAAAATCGCTAGTTCTTCAATTTTTTAACAGAGAATATGAATTACATCTAAAATGGCATAGATTAACAACAACATGAAGTGCCATAACATGCTATAAATGTGATTCCTTAACATTTAGGTAAATATCAAAGTCCGCTTGGAATTCTTGCAAGAAGGAACGTATTTTAACTTGATATTAAGAACAGATGAAACTCAATCCAAAACAAATATTCATGTTTTTTCAAACTTCGATGGGGATACTTATTTCTTCTTACCTTATGATTTCATCATTCATAACGTGTTATTATTATTTTTTTTTGGTTTTTATTTTTAACTGTTACAACATGCCATTTTATGTTGCTTGATCCTAATACTAATTGTGATTGAAATAAGACAAATTTGCTATATTCTCCAGACATTGTGCTTGTTGTCTCGCTCCAAATTATCTAAGCAACTTGGCATGCACAATTTGAGATCATGCTTTTTACCTATTGATATGATATCGTATATAAATGATGATTATAATCACCGTTACTCACAAGTACGTTCACCCAAATACATTTACTGTGTTACTTGCTCTATCCAAACTGAATAAACACTAATGTACTATCAGCAGCTAAAATTTAAATCATCTACCGAACTTATTAAAGGCTAATAAATACGAAAAAGTAAATGACTAAAGAACAGGATGCTGGCTTGCACAACAAACTTTGAAGATATATACGTTATTCATTAAAATATGCTACTTTTTCATCTATGATTAGTCAGTCAAAGTGTTATAACTTTTTGATGTTCTTGATGTTAGATTTCTTTAAAAGGGCGAGTTACAGAATGTTGCAGATTTCTATTACACATATTTTGGCAGTCGTCTTTTGGTGTCGTTTTCACTTCTTAGCTGTCTGATAGTAGATATAAGATTAATGATTGAAGGGATTATTACAGACTATTAGCTAATTTTCTTAGTAATTACGTTTGGGGAGTTATAGTTCAGTGTTTGTAAACACTATTCGAGTTTGTTTAATTGCAAATTTCATTTTTCTTTAGGTGCCTTCAGTTTAGATAGTTATATATTAATATTGACCTTTGCTTAGTGTAGTCCGGTTTAACTGAAAAAATTATGTATATAGTAATTTGATTAGAAGTGGTTTCAATCAATTCTTTTTACTGGTTCAGCTTAACCCACTTACCCTAAAGCTTCATGTTCAATATCTGTCACAATAATTTAGTTAGTCAGTGGTGTTTATTCTTACAATTTTTATAGTCGTCCTCATCATTAACTATGTCTTGGTGCTGACTGTTATAGACTACTCAGTGGCTGATTTCCATCGAAAAACTCTCGATTGAATTCAGTTACGTAGACAACACTATCCTATTGAGATGTTAGCAAAACTTAATCTACCAACCAATGTGAGCCATACCTGTTAGTATTCTGAATACGTCTTCATTTAAATATAAGATTGCTTTTCAGAAATGGTCCTCATTCACACTTAGATTGATTGAACTAATTAACTGAAATATATATTTGCATTGCCCTCGACAATTTAGTATTCGTTAAAATCTTGTCATGAGTAATATAATTTTGATAACCATCTACTAACTTATTTCACTTATAGTTTGTCTTATAATGGAATACTCTGTTGGAGCTGTTCCAACATACAAATACTAAGTTTATTTGCTAAATGCAAAAGACTGTATTTCTGTAAGGAGCGATGCATTTGAAGATCCAGTCATGTAGGGTTAAAATTTAAAGTGTGCATTATTGAGATCCAACCTAGGGTTTCAGGTAACTTCGTCTAGTTGACAAGAATACAACCAATAAAACTAAGTGGTGTGCGAAAACCACTGACTGGTTCAACCAAAATGAAACTAACTTGATCTGGCTGGAGTAGAAAAGTAATTTAAAATCCACAAAATAAGAGAAATCGGTAGTTAGAAATGTCCAGTAGATATATTCCATAACTTATCATGATAGCTAAATATCTTATTCCATGCATGGTTTTCCCTAGTTTTATTTTCTTTCGTCGTTTACTCTCTAGTTTCTTCTCGTTCTCCCTATTATTATTACTACTAGTAGTGGTAGCAGTACTCCTGACCGTAGTTGTCACCCCGATGTGGTGGTCGGGCTTTCCTATCGTGATGAACCAATCGACCTATGTTAGCTGAAATGCTTATTCCTGTAGATCCTAACATCGGTAAGACGGTAAGACTAAAAGAAGCAACTTGATGCTCGAGGGTGAAGTCATACTGCTGACTGCAGTGGTGTATGAGGGCATAAATGTATTTCCCTCGGGCAACCAGTTTCTGCAGGGACACCACCTCACAATGGAAGGAGAAAGTTAGATTAGGTTTACTCCAAAAATAACGCACTACACCATCACACATTTCTGTGGATGTCTGTAAAACCCTGAAGAAAAGGAGCTAGTACATCAGAAGAATCCATGCGAATAGGCCGCATATGACAGAGCTCAAGAGGTTGTCTTGTTGGCTTTGAGGTTATGCTTCCTGACAAGCGATAGCACTAAATATCCAGTTCTGTTTACAGGTTGCTCAAGAGGTATCTCTTCATGATGTGAGCAACCGGGAAGCGACAACTACTCGCATACTTCTAACAGCATTCAAAGTCACTTTTTTCATGAACAAACCTCACCTTTACTTTTAAGTATTTCCTATGTCGCCGCAATCAACCCTTCTCCTATGGTTATACAACTGCGCCCTACCAACTCTAACGACCCAAGTTCACGAACCGTTATTCCCAGTATCTTGAAACAGTGCTCTGAATTACATGCTGGTGCTTTCAATGTCCGAACCTTATGTCTAATTAGACAATAGGCTTCCTTAGTTATGACTCGAGGATCTAGTACCATCAATTTATGCTGCGTTTTTGAAATGTGCATACATGATCCAAGTATGGTTATCCACTTAAACTGACCTAGCCAGTATAGGGAGCCAATGCAATATACCCTCATTGTGTCTGTTGGCTTGACTGCTACTTCTCATGGCCTCGCTTGTGTGATTATTTAATCAGGCTGAAAAGCAGGACAGATTCTCCTAGACTGAATTTCTGTAGATAGTCGCCTATCCACCATCCAACTAGAGAAGCCAGTAATAACTAAGGACGCTGGGAACAAATATGGACTCTTCTTCGTCGTCTCTGACTACTCTCCAACTGACTTCAACTCGAGCGAAGTGAAAGAGAAATATTCTAGCGAGCTTTCCACCCTCCTTCAAAAGACTAGACGCTTAGATGTAGTGGTGGTAGCAGGCGATCTTGATGTGAAAGTAGGTAGCCCGAATCTGAGTGCAAGTCACTTGCTTAAGTCTTACGAAATCCCAGCTCAGCGGACAGAAATCAGTGACTTTTTATTGCAGCTGGGTTTAGCTGAATGTTATTTCTAGCAGACACCAACTTTAGATATATGGCGAGCCTTACAATTAACTGAACGACGAATGCAAATAAATCGTATCTCCGTTATCCATCGTTTGAGAGGCGCGATAGAAGACTGCCATTCATTCCGAAGCACATGCTTAGACTCGGATTATTCTGTAGTACGAGCAAGCGCTTTTATGTGTCTTACTGGATGCAGAATAGCTACAGCAGTGAGACCTCCTTAAAGTTCAGTTTAATGACTAAAATGTCAAAACTATATTTCAAGAACAACTAGAGAAATTGTTAGTCGTATATTCCCGACTTAGGTTGGCGTAATACCCAGATAGTTTTGAAGACAATGGTGGTATCTACTAGTGACTGAAACCAAAAGATTAAGAAACATCAGTATATTTCGATGTCATTCACTGGATTGATAGTTGCCGGGAAACTTTTCCCATCAGGTTCAGATAATGGTATGAAGTAAAAGCATCTTAAATGTAGACTGACAATAGTCTATGCAGTGGTCGTGAGCAGTGGTGAACAGCGAAAACAGAGGAGATAGAAAAGATAGCAGCGATGAGTAACGGTAGACAACTATTCAAGTTGATCAAGGAAACAGGT